GTCACGTTGGCTATCTTCCAGTCATTAGGTACGGAAGCCGATTTAAAGGATAGGTTACAAACCACAGATAATAGCTCAGCAATTTCCCATTTAAGTTCCTTTAGAGCCCTTGGATGAATGCCATCCGGTCCCGGAGATTTGTTAACATTAAGTTTTTCTATTTGTTCCAAAACCTCCTCTAATGACACTTCAATCTGGGACAGTTCCTCAGATTCATCACCCACAAAGGACGGTGCAGATTCAGGAATCTCCCCAACGTCCTCAGCCGTGAAGACTGAAGCAAAGAAATCATTTAGTTTCTCCTCAATGGCTTTATTGTCCTTGATTGCTCCTTTTATAGCTCGATCATCTAGGGGACCCGCAGGCTTTTTAGCAGGCTTCCTGCTTCTAATGTACTTAAAAAACATTTTGTTATTTCTTTTTGAGTTTTTGGCTAGCTGTTCCTCAAAATCTTTTTTTGCTTTTCTTATTACATGTTTACACTTGATTTGACAGTGTTTATGTTCCTTTCTATTTATCTCACTAGGATTGGACTTCCACTTCTTAAAAGATACCTTTTTGTCCCTCACTGCTTCTTTTACATGGTGGTTAAGCCACGGTGACTCTTTTTTAGGTCTCTTGCTATGTTTTTTAATTTGGGGTATACATTTAAGTTGGGCCTCTATTATGGTGTCTTTAAAAAGTTTCCATGCAGCTTTCAGGGATTTGGCTCTAGTCACTGTGCCTTTTAATTTCTGTTTAACTAACCTCCTCATTTTTGCGTAATTCCCCTTTTTGAAATTAAATGCCAGGGTGCTGGACTGCTGAGGTGTTCTTCCCACCACAGGAATGTTGAATGTTATTATATTATGGTCACTATTCCCAAGCGGTCCTGTAACGGTTATATCCTGGACCTGATCCTGCACTCCACTCAGGACTAAATCGAGAATTGCCTCTCCCCTTGTGGGTTCCTGCACTAGCTGCTCCAAGAAGCAGTCATTTAAGCCATTGAGAAATTTTATCTCCGCTTCTCTTCCTGAGGTGACATGTATCCAGTCTGTATCAGAGGCAGCAGCGCAAGGTGCTAGGTGGCAGCTGGTCTACAAGAGGTGCCAATTTAAAAACCAGCTTCCCTTATGGACCGGCTGACTGTTGCCCCACCCTGCTACCTGATACAAAGGCAGCAGTGCAGGGTGGCAGTAGCCCCTGTCTGCAGAGGGTCTGAGCTCCCAAAGGACAGAGCTGTTGGGGAGGCACAAGGGGTGGGGGAGGCTGCTGCAAAGTCGCCTTTGCATGGCTGCCTCCTATCAGAGGCAGATGCATATGGCAACTGGCAGCTAGTCCATGGGAGGAGCTGGCACCCTGTGCTGCTGCTTCTGATAGAGGCAGTAGTACAGGGGCGGGGGGAGGGAAGGGAGACAATACCAGGTCCTACTTCAGAGGCAGCCTGGGGGGCGGAGGCGGCGGGAATGCAAGTAGCAGACTAGATTAACCAATAAGCCTAGGATTATTGGTTAAATCATCTCGTCGACTATTCATTGACATTCCTAATCTAAAGACTAGTTTACCTTACTACAGTATTCAATTCCTATCTAGTGTCATAGAGGAGGGAAGGTGTTGGTCTGTGGATACAGTGCAATGAAGATAAAACAAGATATGTTCGAATGCTCAACTTCACTGAAGACTGAGTTATGTTTAAGAAAGAAGTACAAATACCTGTGGAAAAGAGATCCGTAGAGGAAGCCAACAACTGAGTGCTATGACACCTGCTAATTTCTGATGTGTTGTAAGAGCTGTATACAAAGACAAAGCACCTCCCTGATCAAGAAAAATAAAACCAATACAATCTTGAAAATAAACATTTAAATGTAACTGTAAATGTATCTACATTACTTTAGGATTTGTGGCCCCTTTTATTTTCTAAGAATATTTTCCAACTTCATCTGATTGCTCTGAAAAGTCCTTCTAAAAAGGATGTCTGGTGATTCCATGTGTATTAGGTTTCAATTATTCAGCCAACTCAGTTTACAAGGAAAATAGCATCATTGTTCTAATTGATAATTGCAAACTAAACCTGCAATCCTGTATTCTTCCTGAGTCATTGTAACGTCTTTTCTTTTTTCTTTTAAAGGAGACTAGAGAATAAATTTATTTAATTTCTGTCGACGATATGTGAACCAAAAGAGAATTTCACTCCCCTTAATGACAGTTCTCTTTTCTAATCACTTGTCTGATCACATCCACTTTAACATTATAAATACAGGCAGTCCCCGACTTACGTGGATCCGACTTACATCGGATCCCTAGATACGAACGGGGTGAGGCAACTCCCGCACATGCGCAGCAGCATTCCCGGGGCTCGCTCACCTGGGTCCTAGGATCCTCCTCCTCCTCGGGCCGGCTCCGACTGGGGTCCCGCAGAGCTGCCGGGCAGAGGAAAAGTGCCCCCCCACGCCCGCTGCCCCCCCTGCCAGCAACAGGCTCCCCCCTCCCCTGAGCAACAGGCTGCTGAACAGACAAAAGCAGCCTCTCTGCCCCTCCTCCCCTCTATACATGGCGCGCTCCCGGCAGCGTCCCCGGGGCTCGCTCACCTGGGTCCTAGAATCCACCTCCTCCTCCTCTTCGGCCGGCTCCAACTGGCCTCTGCCTGCAGCAGCTGGCCACAGGGACAGGGATCCTGCAGAGCTGCCGGGCAGAGGAAAAGTGCCTCCCCACGCCCGCTGGCCCCCTCCCTGAGCAACAGGCTGCCGAACAGCAGACAAAAGCAGCCTCTCCGCCCCTCCTCCCCCTATACATGCTCGACTCCCTGGGCAAACAAAGACTCCACCAAAACAAACAAAGTGCTGGCCTCATTGTGTTAGCAAAAAAAGGACCCTCCTCCTAGAACCCTGGGTGGTGTGTGGAAATAAAGCTATTAGCTCAAAGCATGGTGCAGAGCTGTTTGGTATTTGATGAGTTACTCCTTTAGTCCTGAGTTTGTCACAGGGACAGAAATAGATGTGAAATCTTCTGAACAGGGGAACAGACAGCAAAACAAACATTAGAGGGGAGTTAACCTTTCCCTATGCTATCCAAAACTAAAAAAAATGTTTGGCTAGAGTTTCCCCTACAATATGTACCAGTTCCGACTTGCATACAAATTCAACTTAAGAACAAACCTACAGTCCCTATCTTGTACGTAACCCGGGGACTGCCTGTAACATACAAGAGTATGAGACCACCATATAATGCAATATAGCACAGGACAGTAGTTAACACTTTCAGTCCTGTTACAATCTGCAGGCAAATGAAAAAGAAAAGCAATATAGTACTGTAGCTTTGTTCACATTAGTTTTTGTGTAAGCTTTATTAACCAGTTTATCATAGGACAACACAAGATCTATTGCAGGCCTTTCCTTGTTCAGGAAATAACTTCTTCCCTCTGAAGTTGAGTTTTGGTTTTTTGGGTTTTTTTGGGGGGAGGGGGGGGAAATAGAAAAAGACTAAATTTATTTCTATCTTTTGGAATACAGAGTGCAGATGACTCACAGAATCAAAAGTACATGGAAATTTTAGAACTAATCCCCTAAAGTTACTATTCATCAGAGACTTAACTTATTTTAATATTTCTTAATAGCAGTTCTGTAATATGAAAACTTATATGCAAACTCATTTGTTGCTAAATAGATTTTTAGAGTTGGAAAAGACTTACTACAGTGCTTTTGTGACCTTTTGGAAGTAAGTAAAAACTAATGGCCTTAATTTTCAGAAACTAACAACACAATCTTTAACATTTTTAACAAGATTTTCCATATCCAAGGAGACAACTTCAACCTCCTCTAGCAAAGAAACTGAAACTCCCTTCCTGAGAAGTACCTTACCTGAGAAAAGCCTCCCAATATTATTCTGTTAGAAGGAATCCCATTCTTCACTTCCTGATCTATCAGTACTTTAACTGAAAATCAAATAAAGTCCCATAGTTAATATATAGTTGGTTCTAAGTGGGAGGGTTCAGAAGAAGAGAGGTATAGGTGGTAAAAGGCAGTGTTAATTTTCCTTATGTCAGAGAAAAGCTGACAGATGGGAAGTTGATGGAGTATCATTCAACCACAATATTCTGTACCAAAAGCTTTGAGACCAGGGACAAGAATTCTGGTGCTTTGGGCATCACCATTTCTTGTAAAGCCAGGAGTGCTGGTACCAAGACACAAGTTGTTGGCTTGGGGGGTCTCAGAAATGTCCCAATGCAGAGCAGGTGGTGATTTCTGAGCATTTGGTGTCATAAGCATGCTTGTGTGGTGTCAGTGGGCTGTTCTTTCTAGGTGGATCCCAAATTTACTGGCTTCTAGGCATGCATCTCACATGTGAAACTACAAAGACTATTTAATGAATCACTAAATTCACCCCCACAATTTAAGAAACTCAAAATCATTTAGTTAACCAACAGACCATATACACTATCGGCAACTTCACCATTTTAAATTCTTATTGCCAGCTTTGGCTAATTTTATTAGTCAAGTTAGAGACGGACATTAAAAATGCAGCTGAAAATGAAGAAAACATTTAATATAAGTACATACATGCATAGAGCACCTAGCAAACACCCATTTAAATAAAATGAATGCTACATTAAAATACTCAAATGTACCATTCTCTGCTGCCTGCTTGATCCCAGCTTCATCTTCCTGTGCATCAGGCGAGAGTCCAATAATATCAAACCTTAAAAAAAAAAATCACATTAATTCATGATAGAACTAACAAACCTTTCTACATCATACAAACAGTAATTAGTTAAGAGTTGTCCATTTGTCACACTTTAATGTTTTATTATCCTACAGATGATTACTTAGCAAATAGGCTAAGCTCTCTAATTAGTTGTATAGGCTCAAAACAGTTTACATTTCTTAAACAGCGACTGAAATATCAGTGCCCAAAAAGGACTGATCTTAGGGAGAGTTTAAGCATTTTATACGTTTGTTTTATTTAACTTTATTATTTTGGTACAAGGAATTAGATGCTAAACTAAATCATTTTTATTTTAGTTGCTGCACTATATATAGTAGAGCTGCACCTGTAATTTATATTAACACAGTGAGTAACCTACTAGTGCGGACTAAAGAAGCTTCAACTGCTCAGCCAAATATAATCTCTTATGAATTTTTCCCTCTTTCGTTAGAGGAAAATAGCTCTGTATTTTGATATTTAAGAGGCAGTATAAATGGAAGTATTCTTCATGATATATTTGACCAAATATTAACAGGGATATGCTTAGAATTAAACTATACTTTCATCAGCTAGTCTACAAAAGCTTAAAAAAAACCAAGAGGGAAGATTTGCATAAAGTTTCATATGTACCAATAGAAAACATGGATGATATCATGATTTTTTTACTGGAGCTTCCATTCTGAAAGAAATGAGACCTTTTTTCTGGTAAAGGTCAGTCAATTGTCCACTTACTACTAGTAACAATAATTCCTAGAATTTTCATTACTCTGTTTTCACAACTAATAAGTGACTAAAAGTAATTTTCCTTTAAGTTTGAGCTGTACCATTTAGATGTGTACCACTTCTTGCATGTATGCAATGTCCTCTACTGCACATTCTCCTTTGATTACCGCAAGCCCTGTTCCCTCTAAAAAAAGAAAGGGGGGAGGGCAACTCAACAAACCTCATATCCCATGCCATTC